CATTAGTCCAACCAAGAGCGATTACGGTATATACATCAACCTAACATATTAAACAACCACATTTTCTAGTCATCAAAGATCACTCTTATGGCTACACTTGGTGTATACGTCTATTTTGACAGCCAAAATAAAAACAAAGCATATTTTCTAAATGGTGAGTTATTGCAGAGCTCTAAAAGGCAGACTGATCTGGTTGTCCTTGTGCATGAATCATAAAGGATAAGTATACAGGTTTAGTTCGTAATTAGGAAAGCTACTGGAATGTTAAGATTTATTGTCAGGAGAATTGAATACACACAATATTGCAAAGGTTAAGCTTCAGTTATACAGAACACCAGTAAGACTACTGTATCACAGTGCTCAGTATTGGTGGCCTTATTTAATGAAGGGTGTAAATGGAGTGCAAGCAGTTCAGAGAAGAGTTGCAAGAATAATACCTAAAATGAATGAATCGTTTTATGAGGAAAAGTTAAGCAGGCTAGGTTTGTATCTGCTGCAGTTAGGAGAGAGGTAATTTGATGGAAACATGTAAAATGCTATGGGGTCATGATGGAATAGATGCAGAGAAGATGATTCCTGCAGTGGGAGAATCTAGAACTAGAAGTCACTGCTTAAAAATCAGGAGTGACCAAGTTAAAAAAGAAAAGTTCTCAGGAAGGGTCACTCAACCCGAAGCATTAACTTTGATTTCTCTCCAAGGATGCTGCTAGACCTGCTGAGCTTTTCCAGCAATTTCTATTTTTGTTTCTAAAAAAGAGATGTGTTTGATATTTTTCTGTCAAAATTCGCTGAGTCTTTGTACCTCTGAGCCTGAAAGGGTTGTACAAGTAGAGATGGAATTTTTAAGGCAGAAAATTTGTAGATTTTTATTAAGCAAGGTGCTAAAATATTATCGGAATAGATGGGTATGAGGATTTAAGGTTAAAATCAGATCAGCCATGATCTTGTCAAAAGAAAGGGCAGGATTAAGGGGCTGAATGGCCTACTCCTCATCCCTGTTCATTCGTATAAGGTGACCTGCCTCTTCTGCTAAGAAATACTACACTTTCATAAGGAAATGGGCATCTTTTTGTTAACCCTTGAAATTCATGATTTACACACTTTATAAGCCAGTACATGGGATCAATCAGCAAAAGGAGTTCTGTTCCCAAAATGATAGACAGGAGTTTATGAGTGTCCAAACACAGCAGACTATGCATGGTGAACAACTAAGAGAAAAGCATCTTCAGGTGAAAAGAATGAAGGAGGAATTTTGTTTCAAGATAAAAGTTGTAACATGTACTAACTCATCAAATAAATGTTCTGCAGTGAGGTTATTTGATATTCAGTTGAGAAAAATGACGGGAGAACAGAAGAAGAAGGAATCTATCTCGAAGAAGATGCACAAGATCAAATAACTGATGAGAAGAGGGACCAGCTACTGGCCTGAACCTAATAAGAATGTGTTTGAATGAGCCCATGAAAATATCTGAATAGTTACATCACCTGCAGAAACACAATGTGTAAATAAAACCTCAAATCGACCAGGAATGTCAGAGGAATAACCAGTTGGTCTAGTCAGTTTATGGAATGAAAGTTTCTACTATTGTGGTAGAATACCAAAATTACCCAGAGATTACTAAGAGACCTCACTGCCAAAAAGATCAGTTTTCAATTCATTGTCATCCCATGGCAAAACAATTTCTATATGTCACATCAGCAATATTGTTGAAAGACTCATGATTTTCCATAATATCCAACATCTCAATTGTGGAATGGAAAAGTTCAAATACAGATCTAGTGTGTGCTGCATAGATAATGCTCACATTACAAGACTCCGTTTATTCAACTGATGTCACACACAGTCAGTGGGTGTTGACAAGGCATTCTACTCTAGCTTTTGGAGGAAGCAGATTTATCTGTACCAGCTCCCTAAGGTCCTGGTAATTATGCCTAAGCAAATGTAGGTGTACTCACTGTTATCATGCAGTAAGCCTTCTCATTATCTAAGAACAGAAATTGAAATCTGACTATTGAAAAAATGCAAAATATCCAATCGAATGGATGGAGATGATGATTGTTATGAAAGAGGGATTCTGAAATTGTAAGGGCCAAATTTGACTCGTAGTGG